ATATTTTCCAAAAGTTCCTCTTTGATATCCAGTGTAAGTATTAGAGAGGGAAAATTGTTAGTGTGAATAAGGGTAGCTAATATCTTCATAGTATGAAGCAGTACCATTTTTTAGTAGTTAAATTTTAATATATTCAACAGGTAAGTCACCCCTTTGAAAAGACGCATAGTTTATACCATAAACATTTTCGCTATCCCCAGTTTCGATGAGTCTGAATTTCCCACTTAATTATCTTAAGTTAACTGAATTATCGTCAAAGATAAACTCAGTTTCTGTTTAAATATATTTATAGTATACTTTAGTGCCATTTGTTTCACCTGTCCCTCCACCATTTGACTTTGTGCATGATGAGTAGAAGATAGGCAATTCATAAACGAGCTTCCAGAAAATGTTCACACATGTGTATCCTTCTTCTTTCTTGCAAGCAGAAGAACAACCATCGCCGTCTACATTATTGCCATCATCACACTCTTCACCCTATAACTCTTTGTTAAAGCCAATCGAAAGATCAAGACCTTCAAACTACCTATTTCCACAACTTGATGAGCATTTACCAACAGGTGGACATTTAAATGGAAATTCAATTTCCATACAACCTTTGGCACAACCATCTCCACCAACATTGTTACCGTCATCACATAGCTCCCAAGACTCATTATGTTTATTTCCACAATACTAGATGCATTCTCCTGTAAGATCTGTCATATTCTGAGTGCAGTTCCAACCAAGGTCAGCTCTACAAGTCTCGTTATTGCAGCCTACTACTTGATCACATTCCTCTCTGTAGAATTCATAAATGCTACCATTTGCATATTTCTTGTTTTGCTAGTAAATTTTTTCATCTCCACACATCTTTTTACACGTAAAAAATTCAGCACAGCTCCATCCAATTTCTTCCTTACATGTTGAATTGCAGCCATCACCATCTAGTAAATTTCCATCGTCACACTCTTCCCCATCGTCTTTTTTACCATTACTACAAATGATTGGAGAGCACACACTCTTTTTGCCTTCAACTTTAGTGCAATTGTAAAATTCTTCAATCTTACAGTTGCTTGAGCATCCATCGCCATCACTAAGATTACCATCATCGCATTCTTCTTCATTTAAGCTTTTAAATACACCATCTCCACACCCAACCAACGATTGAGTTAGACATTTTTCTATCTCCATTCTTCTCAGATTTACAACAAAAGCCCTCATATTGTTATAATCTGTTGTATTTCTCATTTAGCCACAAAGTCCAGGATTAAGGACTATAGCATGATATCTTCCAAATTAAACTGTAAAATTGTAGAAATCTGTATGATTTTTGACATCAATAAAGACCTAAGAAGGCCTATTTGTAAGCCTAGATATGGCTGATGGATGAGTGCTATTAGTTCCGTATACCGGTCGATGCATGTGATTGTCTACCCTTGATTAGTGTATTTTCCAAAAAACTGTGTTTGCTTTATCTAAAGTTGTTATAGAACTCTCGAAGTAATCCGTTTCATTTAGGATCATAACTGTATAGCCTTTGACATCTTTTTTAGTATAAATAAGTCCAATAGTTTCCCATGATGCTATTTGAGTTATTGTCACGTTCGGCTGAGTGTGTTTAATTCTTTTAGCGTAATAATTTTTTTAAGCAAAACTTGGAAATAATGTTACTTTCCATATTATAGATTCAAAACCATCACTTTCATTTTAGCTCAAATTTGCATATGTTACAAAATGTAAGGTTCATTCAGAAAAACAAAATTTCTTAGTATTCCAAAATGGAATTTATTTGTATCTGCAATATTGAATTTAAACTATACAATCTTTTTACTATCTGTAAAGAGATCTTGCTCGCAGGGATCTCCGTTTTCAGGGAAGCCTGCGTCATACATTCCACTTATCGTAAGATTGTCATCCATTAAGTATATAATTCCTTTTATTCCTGGATGATAGTAAAATTCTGTTGAAGCACAAGGGAAATCATCATTAATAGATTTTGCCTTTTAGAATGTATACTCACTTTTTTTGTTGAAGGTAGTCCTCTTTCTTTTCAATTCTTAATCATATTCAATGGAAACTGTATACCTTCGAATTTGATATGTCTTAATTTGTGTTACTGGATTGTAGGCAAAATACATAAGAGCACCTTTAGAAGGCAACAATATTTCCAATAAAAGTCTCCAAATTGGCACTTTATGAGTTTGAATTCTCGTAGTAATGTACTAAGTCTGGATTATCATTTTCATCAAAATCATTTTCATTGTTTCCAAGTTGTTAAATTGAAGTGATCTGCTATTGAGACTAAGAATAGCCTGAGGCTTCACAAAGTGAGGGGTTTGGTTGCAAAAAGTTTTCTCTTGTTTCTTAGAAAGTATTGAAGAAAGCGCTTTGAAATAGAGAAATGGATCCCTCAAAAAGTCTTTAGTTCATAACAGGATCAAAGTAGCCATTATCATCGCAAAACTTCATTGAACTATCACATTGATTTACTTCCCCAGAAGCCAATTTAAGAAATTGCAGCAAGAGCAAATGCACATATAAACTCTGATATATGCCTCGTTTTAGGGACAGAATGGATTAGAAGAATCTAAAACTCAAAATGAAATCCTTATAAATCATTATTGAATACAAATGGTAAAATTGTTTAAATATTTCGATCAATATAAATAGAAAATCCTAATAGATACATTATGGGGTTTTGGGGTTTTGGGGTTTTGGGG